TCTCCTTCGCGATTGAAAGAGTGGAGACTACGAAGTCCAGTCCCGTGCGTGAATCACGCATTTCCAACTTGGGGTCTACGGTAGCATCGTCATAGTCACCGCAACCGTCATAACCTTTTTCCGCCATGGCTAGACCATGGCACGAGCAAGAAGAGAATGCAAGCTAGAGAAAGAGACTGCCGAGAAGATTTCAGATGGATCAGTGGTCGAGCCAGCCGTGCGGGAATCTTGCGTGGTGAACAAAATGACGGCGGTATGAGAACCCCTGCATGGGTTGGCTGGGCAAACCGCACCCGCTCGACGTTGCCTGCTGAATTGGACAACACAAAATACCTGCTTTGTTCACAACTAGGCCAAAAACATGAGGTGGTGGCAGAATTTGGTGACAACTATTCATTACATCATCTGCTAAGCCAATCATAGTGCGCAGTTTTGACAGCAATGAGAAAATTCAGCCTATACAGCAAAACAGTCCGAGCGGCAAGGCGGGTAACTGAGTGCTGACGGTGAAAACCAAGGTGCCAAACTTGGCGAAATCGCATGAATCACGAAGTTTTCAGTTTCAGGGTTGAACACGATAAAACACTGATTGATCAGTGACACAACAAGCAAAACATTGATTGTTCAGAGTTGGAATACTAAAAACACTAAAATCATAAAGTTTGAAAAAAAAAGGGTGAAAGTTCAGGGCCAATAAAAAAAAACACCCTAACAATCAGCCAAATCATGGAAAAGATCCTGACTTCTGAGGCCCTGCACGAATCGCATACCACATTTTGAAATGCTTAAATTGTATTGTTTCTTGAATCAGTTTCTCAAGTACTTTGGTATTCCACGCTTTGCTAATAGATACTTTGCTATTTTGTACTTCTTTGTTATTAAGTGAACCGTATTCCAAGTATTCAGAAACAGTATACCAAGTATTTGGAATTCACTCTAGATATACAAAATGAGAGCTGCACATATAGTTGGAACTGATTGATTGTGGAAAAAAAAAAGGCATTAGCAAGTAGACTATTGCCAACCTAAAATTGTCTAGCCTAGGGGGTGTGTCAAACTATATGTTTGTGTTCTATATGTCAGAATGAGAAACTGCGAAATGAGTTAGACTAGCAAAAATTGGGTACAAATAGCTAACCCTAACAAGCTGTACTCCCTACAGCATGCCTCACTACAGCCGAGCATAAACACACATGTATAGTTTGACACACCCTCAGAGGCAAAGTGGCGGATGGCAAGAGAGAGCAAGTACAACAAATGGTCTCAAGACCAGTCAAGAGAAGAAACAAAACAAAGCTCAAGGTGGATCTCACGATCACCACACAATCCGAGCACAAGCAAGCGGCCACAAAACCAGCCCACATGAATTGTTATAATAGCAAGAGCAGTACAATGATCACAACTAAGTAAGTGTAGACATTCAAATATAGATATATATAAAAGTGCAATAAATACAAGCCGAGATTAAGAGACAAGCAAGTGGGGCAAAGCTGTCAGTAGTCCAGGAGCTGTGCAGAAACGCTGATGGTCACTAGGCCCAAGGGCCTTGGGTGAAAATATCAGCGGTGTTGGCCCTGCGGCCACGTAAGCAAGGCGATCCTGACCTCGATGCTGCAACTCTCGCTGGAGAAAGTAACGAAGCGTAGTGTGCTTCGTTTTGTGCTCGAGTCTCTTACCCTGATAGAAGACGGTCATGGCCTTGTTGTCAGGGTACAGTACCGGTGCAGAGCAAGACCGCTCACCCTTGTCGTGAGCAAGTAAGTCAGCCAGCGTAAGTTCTCCACAGCTGTAGCCCCAGCGTACATCTCGGCCTCATAGCTAGAACTGGGTACAGAAGGTGAGCGAGTGGACCTCCATAAGACAGCACCAGCACCAGCAACAGCACTAAGGCTGAAAGCGTAGCCCTGTGACGACCAAGAAGTCGCCTGGTCGTCAGCCCACGAAGCAAAAGAGTGCCCTGTGAGCACAACTGATGTACTGGCCAAGTAGCACAGCACCCATTTAGGAGCCGACCAGTGCTCAGGTCGATGTCTCCCGGGCGCAACGTATCGAGTCAGGTAGCTGAGAAGTACACGAGATCAGGCGAGTGCACGTCATCAGGTACATGAGGCAACCCATAAGCTCTAGATACGGACCACTAGGCTCTACGGACTCATCCGAAGGTGAAGCTGAGAGTGTATGGCCTAAGACAGATGAGTGGGCTGTGTTGAGGAGAACTGAAAGCCGAAGCGCTGAAGTACCTGCTGCTCCATGTATGACTGAGTCAGAGTGATGGTGCGTACTACTCTATCCCGGATGATCTACAATCCAAGATAGGTTCGCAGTTCACCCAGATCAGTGCAGGTGTGTCTCTTCCACAGCTCGACCTTCATAAGGGCCAGTGCCTCATTGTCAGCAGTCGCAAAGACTAGGTCGTCGACGTACACGAGGAAGTAGAACAGCGGCAAAGTAGGGTCAACCGCAGAAACAGAGACGGGTCAGCAGTCGAAAGAGCAAAACCAAGAGCCGCATGTGTCGTCCTCGGTGTGTCGTGTCAATCGCGAGGCGCCTGGCCGCCCGAGACTCCACTGGCTCAGGAAACGACCTAGTGAAGCCAGGTGGGCGGCGCAACCAGAAGGATGCCCTGCAAAAAAGTTGTCGAGAAGTCGAGCGAGTAGAGCTCGTGGTCACACTGTGCGGCAACGAGAAGTAACACCCGAAGGGTCGTCATCTTTGGGTTGGGGGAGAAGGTCTGGAAAAAGTCCACCCCCTCATGCTAACTGAAACCTCGTGCAACGAAACACGCCTTGAAGACAGGCGGGGAACCCGACCGCCGCTTCACCCTGAAAATTCACATGCCATCGACAATGTTCGCCCCAGGAGGGGGAGTTGCGTCGACCTAGGTGCCAATCGCCTTCCGTGATGTCATATCTGCTTCCATAGCTGTCGTCCACTGAGAGGAGCAAGGACCCACGATCGCCTCTGCATAAGAGCGCGGGGTCGGGATGTCTTGTGCATCCGGGTCTCCCTCAGGGGCAAGAAGCATGGCAGCGAGATGAGGTACAGCAGCCACGAGGTACTCCAACTCGAACTGCTTGTCCTCAAGGACGTCACAACCAAGGGCAGGCTAACCGGACGGATGCAGGACAGGCAGAGTCAGAAACCAGACTCGCGAGGTAGTCAAGGCAGCAAGTAGCAGCAAATTCAGTGAGCTCAACGGCCAAGGCAGACGCAGCAGCAGACGGAAAAGTAGGGTCCGTCACAAGTGTGCCAAGACAACGAGTGACAGTCGGACTGGCAGCACGAGCACGGTTAGGCACAAGGTTAGAAACGTCAGGTAGAGAAGACGGGGGAGGTAACGGCAGGACAACAGACTGCAAAACAGTGGAAGGGCGAAGTGTCATGGCGTGAGTACTAGGATCAGGTGGAATTCGAGTACGAAGGCGACGGGTACGAGCAACAAGTGAGGTAGCTCGAGACACAGGCTCCCTACGCTGAGTCAAGGAGTGGGTCAACGGAGAGTAACAAGGAGGAGCAGGAAGAGGGGAGTCAGGTGGTAACTGTGCCTGAGACAGGTTAGGCGACTGAAAATGTAAAAGAGGAGTAGTACCAGTGGTAGATGGCTCTGCAGAGAGAGGCGGAAGACTGAGAAGGTGGTGAAGCGCCGACCTAGGTAGCGGCAGCGACGACTTCGGCTGCTCCCGTTGCTGTAGTGGCTGCAACGCACCGCCATAACTATGCAGGTACATGTGAAGGTGAATGTAACTCTATGTATGTACAGGTGAAGGTCATATGGTAACACTATGCAGGTGTGGCTGAAGGTCTTATGGTAACACTTTGCAGGTGCAAGTGAAGGTCCTCAAGCCATGACTCGAATTCGATCGAGCGCCCCTCTGCGTCAAACGTGAGCACAGTAATCGTCGCCATGGCGGACACTAGGTCAAGAGGTAGTACTGAGAGCTAGTGGCACGGCAGTATGGCTGTGTGGCGGCAGGCAGGGCGGCAGTGCAGCAAGGCTCGACGGTAGGCAGGGCGGCGCGGCTTGGCGGTAGGCATGGTGGCGCGGCTCGGTGGCAGGCAGGGCGGTGCGGCTCTGCGGTAGGCAGGGCGGCGAGGCTCGGCGGTAGGCAGGGCGGCGCGGCTTGGCGGTAAGTAGCACGGCGCGGTTCGGCGATTGGTAGCGCTGCGCGGCAGCAGGCGGCCGGCTAGGGGTGCGGCAGCGGGCGGCAGCGGCTGTTCGCGAGCCAGGCGCAGGCGGGAGTGGCAGCGAGCTGGGCCTGGCAGCGAGCGGCAGTGGGAAGAGCAGCGAGCGGTAGCGGGCAGCAGCGGCTCGCAGCAGCGCGTGCAGCCGCGAGCAGCGCAGGAGCAGCGCGCGGCTGCGCGCCAGAGCTCGCGCAGCAGCGCAGAGTGGAGCGCGCAGTGGCGCGCAATGTGGCAACGCGTAGAGTGGCAACGCGTAGAGTGGCAGCGCGAAGCGTCGGAGTGCGCAACGAGCAGCGTGGGCGAGAGCAGCACTGGTGCACGTAGCAGCTGCAGCAACTCGTGCAGTAGAGCGAGCAGCGCATGCAGTAGTGGGCAGTAGGAGCGGCAGCGCATGACAGTAGGGCAGTAATGCAGCTCCCGCACAGAAGTAGCAACGCGCAAAGCAGACTAGGGTAGGGGGAACGAACCTACTCAATGATACCATGTCAGAATGAGAAACAGCGGATTGAGTTGGTCAAGGGTTGAATACAAATAGCTAAACGTAACAACCTGTACACCCTACAGCATGCCTCACTGCAGCCTAGCATAAACTTACATGTATACCTCGTACTCTTCCTCTTCCTCTTCTTCCTTCTTTCCTCCACTGGTTCACGTTAGTGTTCTCAACCTAATGGTTCTCCCTTCGTTTACTGGCAGCTATTAAATGTTGTATGCTGAATGTGAAGCTTAGATATGGTTCAGGAAATATGCATTGAGGTTTCAGCTGAAATTGGCTTGAACTAATGTATAGTAATAAATGTACAGGAAGGGTATAATGTCTAAGCACCGGGGGTGAAGTTGGTGGCATAGGCCCACGCGTTGTTGACGGTGGGGTCAGCCAGGTGGTCGCTCAGGTTCTCCAGGGGGCCCTTGCCGGTGACGATGGCCTGCACGAAGAAGCCGAACATCGACACCATGGCGAGGCGGCCGTTCTTCAGCTCCTTCACCTTCAGCTCAGCAAGAGCATCGGGGTCGTCGGCCAGGCCCAGGGGGTCGAAGGCACCGCCGGGGTACAGGGGGTCCTCAACCTCTTGGAAGCCCTCGAGGCCACCCACGCGGTAGCTCTCGACGGCACCCATGAGGATGACCTGGGTGGCCCAGATGGCCAGGATGGACTGCGCGTGGATCAGGCTGGGGTTGCCCAGGTAGTCCAGGCCACCCTCGGAGAAGATCTGCGCGCCGGCCTTGAACCACACGGCCTCGCCGAAGTTCACGCCGTTGCCGGCCAGCAGCTCGGGGGTCAGGCAGCCGAGCGCGCCGAGCAGAGCCCAGCGAGCGTGGATGACCTGAAGATTTATAAACAGGCGAAACAACAGTGAATTCGGTCAGAACCGTGAAACGGTTAGCGTCGTAACGCAGCCAAGGTAAAGCTGTTTCGAAATTGCTCATATAAACATTGAAACGTGATATTTGCGTTGTTCATTCAGCAATAAATGTGCATCCGTGACAAATGCATCTTATATGTGATGTTAGGCTTACCTCCAGCTCGCGGTTCTTGGCGAAGGTCTCGGGGTCAGCGGACAGACCGGCGGTGTCCCAGCCGTAGTCGCCGGGGTACTCGCCGGTGAGGTACGACGGCGGGGAGCTGAAGGGGCCCAGGAACAGGTTGCGGTCGGGGCCGTAGAAGGCGCTGCTGGAAGCCGCCTTGGCGGTCTTCCTCATCGTCACGCGGGCCTCGACATTGTTCACCTTTGCGGCGAGCTCAGCGCTCTGGCCGACGAAGGTGGACGGGAGCACAGCAGCGTTGGCAAGAGCAGCCATTGTGGATGTTTGAATCTCTCGAAGAAGCTGCGATGTGATAATCCTGAATGAAATGAAATCGAGTGCTGCTGCTCTGCTGTGACTGACTGATGCCAGTTTTGAACTCGAGGGTGATGAGCTCGGGTCGGGTCGGGAGGGAGGGAGGGGGAGCGTTGTTGCGATTGGACGCTGACGCATCACGCACGCACCGCTTGGTTTCCAGTCATCTGCGATGCTCCAATCTCCCAAACTGGTCGTTCCAGATTCCCACAATCCAAGATCAACCAATCAGTGTCAACAAAAATTCTCAGGAATTGGGCGATGGGTTGTGCTATTGGTGCAGTGGTGATGCTGTTTCGCGAAAATGTGTGCGATGTTTCGCTTGATCGTCAATCAGTCAAACACCACGGTGTGCAAACTGAGTCGACAACACAAATATCTCCAATCGTGGTGGGCAAGGTCGAATGCGGTCCAGCGAGGTGACCACAAAAGGGAGGTGCTCGAATCTTATCTACACTATTACCGTGTTATATCTTAGTAAAACGATTCAAATCGTTTTCAACATACCGAACACTCATCACCCTGCTGCACTTCCTCCTGCGCTCGCAGATTCGAATTCAGCTATCAGCGGAGCAAGTAGGATCGCCACGTTCCCACACCCCTAGATCATGGCAGAATGTAGGACGGAAATCGCTGCTGCTACGGCGGCGGACGCGCTGTTTTAGTTTTAAAAAACACGACGCCACCGGCACCTTGAGAGAAATCAAAGTCTCTGGGTTCCGGGGGGAGTATGGTCGCAAGGCTGAAACTTAAAGGAATTGACGGAAGGGCACCACCAGGTGTGGAGCCTGCGGCTTAATTTGACTCAACACGGGGAAACTTACCAGGTCCAGACATAGTAAGGATTGACAGATTGAGAGCTCTTTCTTGATTCTATGGGTGGTGGTGCATGGCCGTTCTTAGTTGGTGGAGTGATTTGTCTGGTTAATTCCGTTAACGAACGAGACCTCAGCCTGTTAAATAGTCATGCGAACGCTCGCGTTCGCAGCTGACTTCTTAAAGGGACTGTACGCCGACTCGGTAGCAGCGATGGGGAGCGTGAGTTGCGGGGGCGAGCGCATGGCGGGGAGGCCGTTGGCGGCAGATGCGGTGAGGGTTGGAGCGACGCGCGGAATGGCGGACTGCCGGCTGTACCGCGCCGCTGCTCGGCTCGGCGCGCTCTGCACGCGCTCTGCAGCCTGCTGTGTGCCACTCACCGCATCGGAACCTATACTTGTGTGTCAATCTAGATGCCATCCATTCCCTTGAGGTTTGAATGACATCGCTGGGGCAATTTTTGCAATGCCTGGGATTGGCGTCTTGCAATACACATTTACAGCGTGTCACCTGCTGCTTGAATTCGTCATCCCACGCGGCATCATTCCCAACTCATGGATTTCCCTCCACAATCGAACTCGCCGTTTTCCAAAGCGCGCAAGTACTGTACACATCCAATTGCGGAAAATTGTTCCGTACCTTTTATTCTCTTTCGGGTTGATGCAAAATATTTGTGAATCAATCGAAGTGTGGCTGCTCGCCATAGAGTGACTCGACAATCTTTGCGGGCGAGGCTGAACTATGTCGAGAAGAACGAGTAGAAAGTTTAGAAACAGAAAGAGGGGGTTGCACTAGCAAGTAGTTGAGTACATATAGGAAACCCTAGATTGGGCTGTACTCGCTATAGAGTACCCCACTGCAGGCTAGACAAATACAACATTCTGACACACCCCCATAGCCAAAGTGGGGTGTAATCAGCAGAGCACGCAGTCATAGAATAGTTCACAAGCACAAGTAAAGCTAGAGGTAGTCACAGAGGGCATGTGAGGAGGAGGGACTGTGAGAGGGGAGGAGATGGGAGGCGACGGCGGAAGCTGCAGACACACAGGAGCTGCTGGCTCAGTGGCTACCGAAGCAATGGCCTGGACTACAGGAGTAACTGGCTCCGCGGAGATTGTAGCCTCCTGACTGGAGCAACTGACCCACAGGCGACTGGCGACTACCGGAGATTGTAGCCTCCGGACTACTGGTGCTGCTGGCGACACGACTGCTACCTCCGTTCAACCTCCACCAACTGCCCCACGCCCCTATCACACACCCCCTGTTGAACCCCTAGCTCCACTCCCACGTCACCCCCCTAGCACCACTCCTTCGGCTCCCACACACCCACCCCCCTGAGCGGCAGCTGCAGCAGCGGGAGACGGAGGAGGAGGAGGAGTAGGGGACGGCGCGCACAATCGGCACCCCCACAACCGCCACCCCCACACTCCCCACCCCCAAACCCTAAAACGGGTGGCACAAGGTAGGAGCGCGGGGGACGGCGAGGGGGACGGTGCGCGGCCCCCAGGGCGCCACCACGGGGCAGCGAGGGGCCGCGCGCGGCTCCCCAGGGCGCCGCGACGAGGCAGCGGGGGGGTCGCGCACGGCTCCAGGGGTGGCGCACGGGTCCCCGGGGGCGACGCGAGGGTCGACGGGGGTGGCGCGCGGGTCCCCTGAGGCGACGCGAGGGTCGACGGGGTGCGGCGCGCAGGTCCAGCGGGGCCGGCGCGCCAGGAAGAAAAGGGGCCGCGCGCCAGAGAGGGCTGGATGAAAAATACGTCGCACGCCACGGGGCGTGCGACAGATCGAGTAGCAGCGGAAGCAGGTTGGTGGGCCCACAGGCCAAGGAAGGACAAGCTCTGGTAGCATGTCGAGAAGAACGAGCAGAAAGTTTAGAAACAAAAAGAGGGGGTTGCACTAGCGAGCAGTTGAGTACATATAGGAAACCCTAGATTGAGCTGTACTCGCTATAGAGTACCCCACTGCAGGCTAGACAAATACAACATTCTGACAAACTACAGTAACTCTGTCAAACATTATATGTTTATATTGTGTAGGCTATAGTGGGTTTAGCCTTAGGGGGTACAGCTTTGTTAGGGTTTCCTACTTGTATCCCCCTCCTACCTAGTTTCATGCATTCTCGTTCTATTCTAGATTCTAACATGGTATCACGAGCCTCGGTTGCTACCTAGGACCGCTTTCTACTATGGGCCCACTATTCCGCTAGAAGCGCCCTCGTGCGCCCTACCTTACGTGCGCCCTCGTGCGCCTTTCTCTGCTAGTGCGCCTTCGTGCGCCCTCGTGCGCCCTCGTGCGCCCTCGTGCGCCCTCGTGCGCCTTCGTGCGCCTTCGTGCGCCCTCGTGCGCCCTCGTGCGCCTTCGTGCGCCCTCGTGCGCCCTCGTGCGCCCTCGTGCGCCCTCGTGCGCCCTCGTGCGCCCTCGAGCGCCCTCGTGCGCCCTCGAGCCGCCCCTGCAGGTCCGTCAGGCCCCCGAGCCGCCTCTGCAGACCCGTCAGGCCCCCCCCGAGCCGCCTCTGCAGGCCCGTCAGGCCCGAGAGCCGCCCCTGCAGACTCGTCAGGCCCGCGCGCAGCCTCTGCCCGACCGCGCGCCGCCCCTGCAGGCTCTCGCCGCCCGCCGCGTCGCCCTGCCCGCGGCGTCGCCGCCTGCCCGCGGCGTCGTCACCTGCCCGCGACGTAGCCCCTGCCCGCGGCGTCGTCGCCCTGCCCGCGGCGTCGCCACCTGCTCGCGGCGTCGCCCTGCTCGCGGCGTCGTCACCTGCTTGCCGCGTCGCCCTGCTCGCGGCGTCGTCACCTGCTCGCCGCGTCGCCCTGCCCGCGGCGTCGTCACCTGCCCGCCGCGTCGCCCTGCCCGCGGCGTCGCCACCTGCCCGCCGCGTCGCCCTGCTCGCCGCGTCGCCCTGACCTAATCCGCGCCTGGCCTCTGGAGCAGCCGCCCCTGCAGCAGCCGCCCCTGGCCACTGGAGCAGCCGCCACTGCAGGAGCCGCCCCTCGCCCCTGGAGCAGCCGCCCCTGCAGCAGCCGCCCCTGGCCCCTGGAGCAACCACCGCTGCAGCAGCCGCCCCTGGCCCCTGGAGCAGCCGCCACTGCAGCAGCCGCCCCTGGCACCTGGAGCAGCTGCCGTCGCGGCCCGGCCTCGCCCTGCAGCAGCTGCCGCGGAGCTCCCTGCTGCGGCCCGGCCCCGCCCTGCAGTTGTAGCGGCCCCGCTGTCGCCACCGTCTTGCGCCTGCCGCGCCGACCACTGGTGAGCATTGCCCTGCCAGCACTGCTACCGCTGCTACTGCTGCTACTGCCTTTTCTACTCCCACTGCTACTGCTCCTGCTGTTACTGCTGTTACTGCCGCTACTGCTGCTACTGCTGCTCCTCGCGTGGCCAGATGCAGCTCCAGGGCCGTGCGCGTGAGTCCCTCACGCCCCAGCAGCTTCGTGAGTGGTACGCTAGTTGGGGCTGTCGGGGTGGCCGTAGTGGTAGTCGCTCTGGAGTGGGTCGGTCGGGAGCTTCTGGTAGTGGACAGGTGCAGCTGCCGTGTCCTCTTTCGCCCCAGCAGCTTCGTGCATGGTACGCTAGTTGGGGCTGTCGGGGTGGCCGTAGTGGTAGTCGCTCTGGAGTGGGTCGGTTGGGAGCTTCTGGTAGTGGACAGGTGCAGCTGCCGTGTCCTCTCTCGCCCCAGCAGCTTCGTGAGTGGTACGCCAGTTGGGGCTGTCGGGGTGGCCGTAGTGGCAGTCGCTCTGGAGTGCGTCGTTCGGGAGCTTCTGGTAGTGGACAGGTGCAGCTGCCGTGTCCTGTGAGTGAGGCTGCCGCTCTAGGTGCTAGTGCGTCTGTTGCCCTAGGTGCTGGTGAGGCTACCACTCCCGGTACTCGCGTGTCTGCTACCCCAGGTGCTGGTGAGGCTGCTGCTCTAGGTGCTCGTGAGTCTGCGCCCCCTGGTACTGAGTCGACTGAGGCACTGCACACCTTCACTCTGGACTCAGGTGCTTCTCGATGTTTCTTTCGTGACCGCACTGCCCTTGAGCCGCTTGCTCGGCCAGTTGCTGTCTCCCTCGCTGACCCCTCTGGGGGTCCGGTCATTGCGACCTCCTCCACTGTCCTTCCTTGTCCTGCGATCCCGTCGGGCACACTGTCAGGTCTCCACCTCCCCTCGTTCTCTACGAACTTGGTGGCGGGTTGTGCGCTCCAGGACGGGGGTGTTCACCAGTTCACCCCTGCCTACGAGCGTGTGACACACTGCACGTGTGCTCGGACGGGCCGTCACCTGGCTACCTTCACTCGGCAGCTGGGGTCGGACCTGTACACACTGACCACTGAGTCCCCTCAGGTAGCTGCGT